AAATTCTCAGAGAGTGAATGTGAGATTGGGTTATTCTGATCCACAAGACTGTTTTCCTGGGTGTCTGAATCATTTGTTACCTTTTCCTGTGATTCTCTATAGGATAAGCATGACATACACTTATTTATGGATAAGCCATCACTATTTCTGTCATCATAATCATCATCATCATCATCACCAATATCATCTTCACCACCACCCATTAAACTGGCATCAGATCTGGCACTATGAGTCAGCTTAGAAGTTGCTTTGGAAGGAAACAGCAACTTGGTTGTGGTTATGTCACTGCTGGGAGAAACAGGTGTAATGGAAACACACCCATTTTCTAAAGGAACAGAATGATCAATAGCTACAAATGCATCAGAAACAACCGTTGGAATACCAGCAAATCCCTCATTAGTGATAGAACTTTTGGTGGAGGTGAAAATTTCATCAGAATATATAAACTTATTTATTAATGTATTTAGTGGTTCATCAATTGATAAAACAGGAGTAGCAAATGCATGCCTTCCTTTTGGGGAATAGGCCTGGTTAATCTCCAAATTGGCAGTTTGGTACAACTCATCATTACTGTACAAAGAAGGTACCACTTGCTGGGAACTTTTGCTTTTAAACAAAACTGGTTCAAAATATTTCTCACTTGTGTAAGAAATGGTTAAACCTTGAAGTGAAGCAGAGTGCATATCAGAAGTAGGTGATACATCAAAAACTGGTACAGATGTGGAGTGCAGCATGTTTTCACTTGAAGCAGAATCTGATACCATGAGATGCAATATTGTAGGACTAATTTTATCAACCTTGGGGGTTTCAACCAATACTGGATCACTAGACACAGCTGGAAGAACAGTTTTAAGCAAGGTATCAACAACAGAAGCCTTATAGGAAGGTTGCAGCAATACTTCAGTATTAAAGGAAGCTGAGGTCTCATAAAGTAAGAGCTGAGTTGAAGGAGGTAACATTTCACTAGAAGCAGGGTCAGAGGATGCTGGCTCTGAGTTTGCACTAAGCACAGGTCTAAGCGAAGTGTCACCAAATGCTTGAGATACAGTATGTGTAGGTTGAACTGAAAAGTTATTTTCTGGAACTTGACTAATCTCATGATCAAAAACTTTAGTGTCAGGATAAGCACGAGACCCTGGAAGCATGCCCTTTGTGCTAGAAATGGAAACAGAGGTTTCTTGTAAAGATGCATTCAGCTTATGTACATTATCATACATGTTGGGCATGACCGTGCTTTCAGAATGGTAAACCATCTCATCGAAAGAAGAAATTTGTACTTCAGTCTCATTTCCATATATTATTTCACTTTTAGAAAGCAGCTTATTATCATCACCAAACACAGATGTTGTATATGTAAATTCAGCCACGGAAACAGGTGAAGAAATGTTAAGGGCTGTCAGCCCATCTGTGTCAGGTAAAAGAAATTCACTATCAGAGGAGGCTCCGGACCACTCCCCATCACCGGAGAGGGCATGAGTAGGCTGCAGTAATGATGCAGTTGGGGTTTTTAACGAAGACTTAGGCATCAATGTGTGGCTAGGGCTGCTAAATAAGGAACCCTGATAAGATATGTCAACAGAATCACGCACAGGTATTGCAGAACTGTGAGAAACAGTGAAGATGTGTTGGGAGCCCTCATTATTAGATAAGGCATGAGAAGGTTCAGGCCCTGAAGAACGTACATGCATCATGGCATCACTGCTGGGTGGTTCAACTTGAGAAAACATAAATGTTTTATAAAGGACACCAGATTCACTACCAAATTCCAATGTCTCTGAAGCAGCATGAGTAGTGGTCTGATGTGACACCACATCAGAATACTGAGCAAGGCTGGGCTCTAATAGCAAATCACCCCCAGCCACTGGCAGAGAAGCATGCAAAGACACCTTATCACTCTCAGTAGCTGGAGTAACTTGTGGAAGGATTTGAGAAACCGTATGCAGATGGCGAAACAATTCACTACTGAAGGAAGCAGAGGAAAATGGAAGCAAAGGTGCATCATCATAGGAAGACAGGATGGATTCAACTGACACATTGACACTGGGAAATACAGGCGTAGCATGCAAGGCCGAATCACTACTCGAAGCAGCAGGGGTAGTGTTGAGGGTCTGATTGTCAAGCAACAAAGGGGTGACTAGAGGAAAGACTTCACTACTGTAGGAAGGTTGAAGAGGTGTCTCACCATTGTATACCGGTTGGGTTGTCTGCAAGTGTACCACGTTGACAGTGGGGACCAAATTGTGTTGTCCAGAGGATGGAGTAAAAGCATGAGGTGTTACCTCGGTCGGGAAGTAGGCAAAAGTAGAATAATGTGGCATTTCCATATCTGTAACTGAGGGACCCTGTGACACCACTCGGCCTGGAGAAAAGGATTCGGTTGTCTTCTCAGATTCCTCAATATGTATCTCAGTGTAATTGGTCTGGAGAAAGCTCTCTCTACCTGATCCAACATCGGGCTGCGTTGTCATATCTGTAGAGACAGGAAACCACACATTTCCATCAACAGAAGGATCCTTTAATGATTCTTCTGAACCTGATGAAGGTGAATCTTCTGAAGTATTTCTTGTAGAGTCTGGTATAAGAGCATCATATGTGATTGCCTCTGGGTTTTCCGAAGAAAATATATACCCTTGGGATATGTTCTCAGAGATGGATGGCATAGCAGAAGTTGCGGGACTGGAGCCTGAAGAATCATCAGCTCCAGTATCAAGCTTGAAACTGGTCAATAAACTCTCTTCCTCACTGATATCGGTAGACACTTCTTGATATTCTGTTACAGAAACTGCATTTAAAGATCCTGCAGTCCCAGACAAGTTCATCTGTGGAGATCTAGGAACAGTTTTAGAGCTGTCATTTAGAGAGGCTGAAGTACCTTCCACGGTGTGAGATGGCAGTTCAGTCACAGTCTGAGAAGTCAAGAAAATAGATTTCTCTGTGGCTGATTCACTGACTGGTTGGGAAGTGGAATTTAAAGAGGTGTTGGGAACACCACTCTTTCCGGAGAATTCACTTCCTCTTGTTGGAGATCGGTTAGTCTTGGCCTCATTGTATTTAGTCCTTATGCGATTGTAGTGTGTTGTGGTAGAAATCGGGGGTTCCTTTTTCCTTATTTGGTTTGTGGCACTGTCTCTACCAGGATTCACAATAGTGTCTTCTTCCA